TAGTTTGCGAATTGTAACGATAATATTATTAGGATTGAGTTTCAATTGTTTGTTAGTAAACCAACTTTGAATCTTATCGAGAATTCAAGAGAGCAAAACGGTATGATACGTCGTTATTCATTCATATTCAGGGGATATATTCATGTACCCAATTTGTTTGTATGGTTTTTGTCAATAACAAAAGGAGTTATGGTTCTTATCAACAACTGAATTACATGGTACAATGGATCTTAACAACAATCTGGTCGTTAGACATATTTATTTGAATAATAATAGGAGGACAAATTGACTCTAGATCATCCAAACAAATTTGGTAAATAGTAACAACTAATAACTGATATAAACAAGGATCAAAGCTAAAAAGAAATAAGAACATGAAATTAACTAATCCTCATATTTTCCAATGTCCTGATCAAACTAAAAAAAAACGTCTTTTCGATCAAAAATTGATAAGTATTTTTATTTTTTTTTGAAAATTGATAAGTTGACTATGAGAAAAAAATATTTGTACATCACCTTCAAATATGTGAAATTGTGCAAAGTATTTCATGTTATTTTCACTGCTACGCCATTTTTATTTTATTTACAATGTATTTTTGATTATGGTTCATGATATTTTAACATGATAGACAAATTATATATTATTTCTGCTATATTTTAAAATTACTGCGAAAAACCGTTTTAGTTAATTATGATTTTGCCATTCATTTTTTTTTTGTCGCAGCCAATTTTTTTTTTATCTATTTACCTAATTAACCTGTAATGTAATTCTAATTTTTTTTCAACAAAACACTAATTAAACAGGTTTGAGAAAAACCGCTTTTTTCTTTTTCTCTCTCACGATGATTCCGAGGTCGAACGAAACCACTTCTTCTTTCTCCTGACAATCACCGGCCGGCGCCGGCTCCGGCCGCGTCGGTCATGTTCTTCTTTTCATTTTTTGTTTGTAATTAGATTTCTGTTCCCAAATAAAACCAGATCTATGATTTTGAAATTTCAATTTCGAGATCTGTTTCTCTTTCTCTCACTACGAGAGAATTGTTTTCCGACCATAATCCGGTAAGAGTATAGGAGTTTTTGTGTTGGCTTCAATCCACTCGGGATTTCTCCGATTGGTCTCCGTCGTTTTACCTTTGAAACGGTTCAATTTCATCACCAAAGTGTTTTTGATTCTGATTTGAATCTATCCAAATTGAGAAGAGATTTTCAAGGAAAATCTGGGATCGAGGTGTAAACTATTTGGGTGTTGCAGATTGTTCGTTAAGAAGAAAATGGTTATGGCCAGATCAAGAAAGGAATACGAAAATTTGTTTCTTTTACTTCAATCGAATTTCAAAGAGACTGGATTTTTGGTTTTTTTTTCTCGATCTTCCGAAGTCAACATGTTCTCCAATTTAAACACAAAAAGCCCTTGCCGGTTTCATCAAGTATTCTGATTTCAACGAGAAGACAAGGTTTATGTTCATCATCAACAACATCAAAACTACTTTTATTAGTCAATATAATGCTAAGTGCAATTTGGAGTTTCATCGCAATGATGATAGCCAACAAAGAGTTTATGAAGGGGGACATAACATATTTCATCTGTTAGCCTATCAGATTTCCTAAAGGAAAGTTTGGTTAATCTCCACTCTTTCATTGAAATTGTTTCAATTTCCCATATTTGTGTTAATGGTTGTATTGAAAATATTGTATCCTGTAAACTTCTTATAATATCAATATATTTGATTTGTCAAAAAAAAAAAAAATCTGTAATGTGATTCTACAGCTGAAAATAATTTTTCTTTTTGTGAGAATGCAACTCAAAATAATAATCAGATGTAAATATTAAATTGTACAATTGTCCGTAACCATCAAAACTCTAAACTTTAGAAAATAACGTGTAATTACGAGATTTTTGGTTCTATCGCTCGTTTGATTGATCACTCTCATTCACTCTTGGTTAACAATGTACAATGAATAAAGAATATCAAGTATCAAACCATAGAAAAATTGTCATGGAAATAGATTTTTCATTTTTCAACCTCTCTTCAAATAGGGTTAAAAACATTAAACAGAGCAAAGATTGACTTATGTGAAAAGTAATTGGAAATTTATAAGTAGATCGGATCAGTGTATTTGCTATTTTCCTATTTC